TTGTAAGGGCTCCAAAATTTTCCGCTAGAACTCCCCGAGTTTTGCAATGTCTGTCAAGCAGAGTGTGTTCTAGCGTTGTCACGATGAAGGGTGCTACCTTATTGACGGGCTAAATTTGCACTTTTTGCCTGCACACTATCACTGGGTTATGGGAATCCTTCACACTACGCCTCCGCAGCAATTCGTTGGCCATGTGGAAAAATCTTGTAAAAAAAACATTCCTCTGCCATCTTTCCACCAGACGCTCTGCAGCACATTCTTTGGATGCGACAAATCTGTGACCGCCACAGAACTCGCTTTTTTTCTCATCCTGCTGCCATAAACAGACCACCTCTAATCTCCGCTTACAACTTGGTTCACGAAAGGTTTGTAATGATGGAAAGCGGTGCGAGGCTTCGCTGTTGAACCACGGTTCACTCTGTTTCACTACGTCAAATCGTGCGGAATTTAGTTTTGCGGTGAGTCTAGGTTGCTTTATTTGATAAAATCAACAATCGCTTCAGTAGTAATGCGTGGGTTTGAATGCGATAAATCACGACTGAAGTCGGTAGTAGTACGGGAAATCTGCATTTTGAATTCTACCTAGCAATTTTCAACTGTTAGACTGTTAAGACTAGAAGCACGATCCAAATAAACGCGTGGAATGCCCTCTTGATGTTTCCTTTAGTAAACCCACACAACTTGACGGGAGCGAAACAATTATTTGGCATTCTTTAATGTTTTGCTAACTTGAGACGCATTAGGATAGCTGACAGGCGAAAATGTGGTTATTAAGGAAACATCAGCACAGTCAAACGTGCCAATTATTGCTACACCTGTGACCACTTAAGTGTATTGGCTGGTGCATCCATAAGAGACGAGAAAGCGAGCGAATCTCAGTTTCATTTGCAAAATAAAAAGCAAGAAAAACTGGCATTTGATAGGATAGAGTTTAAGCCACTTCACTGCACACTTATGTTTTTCCTTTTAATCGCCAGATTACGATAATTGCAACTTTGCAGGAGTGCAAGGAAATTTTGGCCTTGTGTGTTGCCGTTTTAAGGAAAAATCGCATGCCTTTTAAAATGCCTTATTTTAATTAGCACTATCAAAATACTTGGTTTGTTTAAGTTTATATAAATAAACAAACTCGGTTTTCCCACGCAAATTGAAATATGTACGTGTTGTGAAAAAAACGACTTCCAAAAGTACTTGGTTAAATAAAGCCACTAATAGATAATGTAACAAGCAAATAGTAGCTTCCAGATTTAGAATTTAAACCAGCAAAGTTGATTTTTTGTGAAAATACATCGTTACCCCTGCCAATTACCCAACAATTGTTGTATCTGTGACCGGAATTTGTAATATTGATGAGTTGGCACGTCTTTGCAGATTAGTTTCACTAAGATAATTTCAATAAAACGCATTTTGTTAGACTTTTAAAGCTGAGATGAGTATAGCTCACTTGTAGCAGGAGACAAAGTTAGTGATTGGCGCCTTTTTGCCATTTTAAATCGTCATTTAATTGAATTAGAAAATAAATCATAATGGTAGGAAGTTAGTAGATTGCTTGTAAAACGCACTTGTGAAATATTATGGTTAAGGCAAAACAGCAGATTGTGTGAAGGCAGTTTGAGTCTTATTTTTATGACATTCGCGTTGCTTCAATTTCGGATGTGACACCATTATTGTTCTAATCATGGTTTTCTTTATTTAAATAAACTTCTTGTAAGGTGATGTCGCTTTTGTTTCAACCTGTCAATTGTATCTCAACTGTTGAAGGGAATTTGGCAAAAAAAGTTTTCGTTATTGTTCTTTTTTTTTTAAAGTTTGGTGAAAACGTGCTATTTGAATGATAGTTCAATTATGACTCGATATATGCTGTTGTGTTTCCTTATTTGGTGACAGTTTGTCATTCAAATTGCATAAATTTAGAATAAAAATATGCGGATTCAGACTTTTGAATTGTCAGGCTTGAAAGTTTAAAGTTTGCGTGAAGAGAGGACTTTAAAGTTTTCATGTACCTTCAAATATTATCTAAGTCTCACCAGTTCAGGTGCAACTGTCTTCTAGTTTACCAGAAATCTGGATTATGTGGGCCTAGTTCCCTCCCTCGAAGTGATGGGTGATGAAAGTATTCCTTGTCTTGCACTACTTCAAATGAACAAAATACTAAAGATCAGATGACATGCCTGATTATGGCTGTTTGCAGACTAGGCCGGAGTTAAATGATAATGCGACAACGCAAATTCCCAGATTAGCACTCTTCTTAACTCAAGCACTTTGATCCCCAACTATGAGAAACATGTTTAAGTTGCTCGTGGTCTTGTTATACTTGAGGGTGAAATTTTAAAAGATAGGAATCCTGGAATCCAAATCTTTTGCAACCTGTAGGGTCTACGAGGTTAGAAGCATTTTCTATAAAGGTACTGCATTCGACCTCTAAATGACGGCGAATGGTTTGACTCAGAGCACAGGTCATTAGAAGTTGCAAAAACAGCCTCGTTACCATCAAAGTGAAGCTCCCTGCACATTTTCATCTCTATGCGGAGGTCATTTTAAATAGTCTCAAGCAACAGTCACTGTAACTTATCCCCTCACGGAAACTTAGTTCCACGTGAAAGCACATTCCACAGGCACTAGGGCGTGTTCTGCAAATCGAAATGACCTTCATCCTGTACTACTACGTCAAGGCCACCGGAGTATCTAAACATGCAGCATAACAAAACCGCCAGCTAGTTTTTGTTCAAACTTTCTAATGTACGTGTAGGCATCAGGCTGAAAGTGCTCCAACATACCCTGCCTCTTCGTGACTTGTGGGGTGCGTGAATTCACAAAATAAGTTGGCAAGCTCAGTGCATGATAATGTGTTTCCGGTCTAGTTGTAATCCAGAACTTCTACCTTAAAATCGGGAGCTTATAAACCTCTATTGGTCAACTCTAGGTCACAACAAGCTACCAAGATGGTGCCTGAATTGTATTAATGGTAATAAATCAAATGTATTGCACCAAGTTTGTTTTGGAAAAAAAGGTCATGGTGGGTTTGGATGTTTCAATCAACTGATTTTCATTTCGTGTAAGCCGAAGGGGCATTCAGTTACATTGCTAGTAAGTTTAAACGCATCTAATTTTGAATTTGGAATATTACAGACATTATGCGCATATTTGCGTGGATAGGGCTGGAGTTAGCCACAAAATAATCGTCAATTTTAGCGAACTGCATATCTGCTGTCATTAAGGTGTAGTTTGAGTAACATGACGCGAGCAGTATTCAACTACAGTCGAAGCGTAATTTGCATCATTTATGCATTTAAACAAATCTGGGTAATTTTTTTCTGGTCTGTGCCTCCAGACATTATTCCTCTTCTTCTTTGGAGCATTCTTTTGATACCTTTACGTTGATCGAATTTGCTGAATCCTGGCATTTGTGTGTCTATCTAAGTTGCATAATCCTTCTACCTAAAGCAGCGTGTCGGCCAATTAGATTAAACCACGAGGGCAATTACTCAATATGACCCATCTCCTATCTTATTTCATTAAGACCAGTACCGCTGAATAACCACAATAAGCGTATGACCATGTTTGTACGTGTACGTTGAATTAAACATTCATTTTCCGTTTAAAATCCAATTGACTGGCGACTTGTGTGATTGATACTTTCGGCAGTTTTCGCCTGCCGTGCTTCCTTCATGTCAGTCGATGTGTATGTGGTACATTACAGCGGTTTTTGAACCAATTCTACAGTGACTGGTCCCAAAAGACATTTAGTGGTCCGTCTAGGCAGCGAATTTGCCATAAAGGAATCGCTTATACGTTTCGTTTGGCTAAATCATCATAGACACTAGCTTCACAGATAGCTTTCCCGGCCTACACAGCCTGCATGATTTAGCGAATATCGAAAATGCTAGTTTTGTACCTTCGTATTGCGAGTAAATTTCTTCATATCCCGTCTGGTGTAACGGTCCCACGATTGTGTTCTTAATGAGAAAGAAGGAATTTGCCAACGAAACCAAAAAAACGTTGGTGCTCTACTTCCTGTCTTTCAGACAAATGGATTTCAATCCAGCAAAAGTTCACACGACGTTTGTGTGGCCTAAATTTTTAAAATATTACAGCAATCCTGGTCAATCGAGACCAAAAAAAGTTACCTGCGGTTCATTAGGAAGCCTAATCGGTGCACGCGTGTAATTTTTACGTGTCAGCAACCCCAACGTAAAGTTATTTTGTGTTTTTGAACGTACCAAGTCATTTGTTGGACATTAGCCGCCTTATTTCAAATTAGCAAATAGCGCCGAATCCTCAATTCAAACAAATTGCACCATGCATTAAAACAAAATGCAGCTTCATCGCAAAAATTATGGAATTAAACAGGTATTTAAAAGTGTAATCGGATTCGCGTTGGCCAAAAATACCTCCGGTCAATTTTTTTTCGCGTAAAATAAACTGCATGAAAAAGTCTTCTTTTTCCAGACACAGACATCAGTTGTCTGGGGGCATCACTAACACTCCCATTCCCACGATGTGCGTGGTTTTGTCAACCCCCCGCCGCACAACAATTTCTGAACCCCACTATAATATTTTTAGGGATTTCAAATGCGTTGCGAAATTAATAAATCAAATGTGTTACACCTGTGCAACGTCCACTTCAAAAAAATCATCCATGAGAAGATGGCGTTCTTCATAACATCGATATTTTTTTCAGCATTTATTTGAACAGAACTTTCATAAATGAGAAGAGTCGACAGAGGTCACGGAAACACCACATAGTCGGACATACAGACGGAATGTAATCTTCAGAAAGCATAAATAACTGTCACATTAAACACCAGTTCACATAAAATAGGTACGATTTTGGTTTTTTCCAACAAAAAGACCCATATGAAGATAGTCTATGCGCCAAGGTGAGTGTCACTGTAGACTGTCGATTAGTCGTAATTACATTTAAATGCAGCAATTGATGGGAAATGTGTGTGTGGTTGGTTGGTGTGAATATTCTCGAGTCACCGTAGCAGTGGGTGCTGTCAGCCCCCGTGTCTTAGACACGAGACAGTTAGCGGAAGCGACGAGACAGCCATGTGTCTGAAGGGTGACATCTTCCGCATGAGACGCGCGATTTCAAATGACCCAATCGGCATGTCTATTCGGATGTTCTGGACCTTTGCGCTGCGCGAGAAGTGTGGGTACTCGGTTACGAGGGAGGTCATTCGCGGCAGGCCACCGACTGATCGCCGGTGCGGTTCCAATTCGGCGCCGAATTCACACGAGGAGTTGTCGCACTTGAGGGAGCACATCCACGCCACGTTGTCCGCGATGATGAGCTCGATCTCCCGCTGCAACTCCGAGCTCCTGGTTCTCCCCAGTGCCTGCTGATTCTGCAGGCGAATGATGCGCGCCTTCAGCTCGTGGTTAATGATGTAGAGGATCATCAGGTCGAATTTGGACATTTCCATTGGCGGAACCACGCACCTCACGTCACCGGTCATGCGACAGGGCAGCGGGCGTCGAGGCTGCGCGCACATCTTCAGTTCTTCGTTGGGGAAGATCTTCGACTGAAGTGTCACCGTGTAGATGCAGTCTCCACCCTTTCGACGAACCAGCGCGTGATTTTCGCATTCGAGGGCGTCGGGAAAACGGTCGCAGTCGGTTGTCTCGGGCACGTAGTCGCCCCAGTTGCCTAGACGACCGAATTGGATCACGTGGTCGTCGTCTGTTGGCAAACCCAACGCCAGACTGACGCATAGGTACAGTAGGATCGGGGCTCGCATTCTAGATTCTGTCAAGAGAGAAGGAGAGAGCGAAAAAGCCGACAGTTAGGCTGGAAAAGTGCGATTTAATGGAGGTCAAAGTGTGTATGCGTGCTATAACACACGCACACACACACACACGCCTCGCTTGCGCACTTATGCGCTAAGCATTAGCAATAAATTAGTGTGCTTTGCAGGCAAAGTGTTTACAGCGTTTGTGTGCGTGTGTTTACTGCACTGAGACATATCTGCGCAGCAGTAATGCAGTACTTTCACCCCCCCCTTCTGGTGTTTTGTCCTTATCTGGTTTCTAGAAAATGTCGGTACACAGAAGTCCTGACTAGAATCTACTGCCGCCAAATGACGCAGAAGAACACCACCAACATGTCTTTTCTGGTTTTTTTCGGAGTCTAGTTGTTGATTTTCCGCAAGTGCTGAATCCGTTTGCTCCGGTGATTAAACGAAATATTATAGCTACTTAGAGGGCAAAAGTAACAGCAGAGGTTTTTCTCTTCCCGACCACTCGTGGACTGGAGGTTCAGTAATGACAACCCGCGTCCAGCCATTTGAGAATCCCCAACATAAAGATTGGTCTCATGGGTGGTAACGAGACATCCTTTAAAGAATACGACTTAAAAATGGATGTTATATCGAAGTTATTAAAAGGAAATAGCCTTGTTATCCTTAAATTTGCCCACAGATTTAAGTTTATCGCCTACACGCTTTTTTATACAATGCGAATCAGTGATTATCGATTTAGTTTGAACAAACTTTAAATAAGGTATAAGATAGAGGTAAAATTTGCTTAGTGACTACTTCTCTACTGGGAAACAACATTGTTTTTCCTAGTTTGTCCTGTCTTATCACCTCAACAGCTCCCAAAAACTCTTGTCGGAAGATGGAATGAAATACCTTCAGCAAGTGGGTTAATAAAACGTTAATACTGATTACAAACTAACGTGCTAAATGGTGTACAAAAAAGGGCTGTCTGTATTGGTATTCGGCCAAAATGATAAGTGTTGTAATGAGAAGCGACGGCCTTGCGACAGACCAACTACCATCAACCAGACGATCGTAGACTTAGTTCCTGCCATATGTCGAAAAAATGATATTGGGGAGATATTTTATGCAAATACTCAATATCCAGCTTCCATCCGAAACTCATACACTTGCAAGGCAAACTTAAAACAGGCAACTTACTAGAGGTTGTGTTTGAGTGCTGTCAGATAACTCGACTTGGAGGGCGCGTGTGTCTGGCTTAGTTCACAGAGGTCGTCGGAGAGTTGGCGTGAACACTCGACCCCGCAGGGTGGCCTTTATAGCCACTGCCTCGGCCTACATCCCCCGCCGTCATTGGCTACACTCAGGCTCTTTCGTGCGGCCGTGTGTACACGGCGACTGCTACTGCTGCGGCGGTGGCGGCGGCGGTGGCAGCAGCAGCAACGGCACGCTCGGCTCGCACGCGTGCCACCTTACTTGAGAGGCTTAAAATTCAAACTCAAGTGTCTTCGAAGCTCCGTCGAAGCAGCCCCAAACCCAGGTGCACCCTAAATGCATCCTGGTTTCTAATTTTCCCGTGAGCTGAATAACTCATGCATTAATTACAGCCACTGGAATGCAAGTTAGATTGAATTTGGGTTGATCAATATTGCCTAAAATTTGAATAATGTCGTGTTTCATGTGTGCACAAATTGTTTCCGAATGTGTGGGCGGTTTCCGTTCGCTAAGGCCCGATTTCCTTCTTGGTGCTTTTTGCTACACAGGACCAACTTTTAAAACAGAAATTTCTGACTGTACATGCAGCCAGAGACGTGATTGGACCGTTGAAGCAGAGATGAAATGAATAGTGGTGGTTCGCAATATCTTTTGGACTGCTGAAACCTAATTCCAAGCACGCCATTTCCGTTTGATGTGGTGTTGCAAAAAAAACCAAAATGTACTGCCTTTTTTTCAGGTTGTATTACCTGTTATTTGTTCAGAACATGTTCATTACTGATGCTCCTAGCATGCAACCTCTTCCGACTGTTAGTAATATAATCTATACGGACGAAATGATGGATTTTCAGTCTTACAGACATGTGATTAATGGCCGTGACAACTGTTGCCTACTTAAAATAGCCAATCGACTTTTTTGTATTAAGTAAACCCCACCCTCGATGTCACACACACGCACTCTAACCTATGCGTGTGCTAAATTTCTCCTTTTTCTGCTCCTAAAAACTCTGTCTGGATTTGCATTAAAATAGTGAAGCGTGAAAATGGCATTCCCAGTGAAATGTGTTGGCCTGGATTTGGTTGACTGAATCCTTGCCAACTCCTTTTCATTTCTGTTGGGGTCCACTAGACGCTTCCACTTGGGTCAACAGTTGAGCTTCACGGTGGGAAAGGTCGTGGTTGGTTTTTTTTTCTCCTAACCTGCTGTAGCTCGATCACTTGAACTCCGGAACTAACTTCTACTAGTAGTTACTAGAGCCCAGGAATCTATTGAGAAGCCGCCATTAGCCGTCAATTAGATGCGCGTCACGATTGCTTTGTACGGGATAGATAATTTTCAAAGATAATCTGAGCATAACGCCCTATGAGCGACAGTCGTCCAATGAGAATTGATGTGTAAACGGGTGAAAGGAAGTCTGAACGATTAACACAGCATGAGCTTTAATCAGTCGTGCTGATAGTGCTTTGGATCGATAAACAATAGCCACTGATCCAACCCATATAATCCCCTAAAATTACAAAATCGTGAATTAGAGGAAATGGAGCTAGCTTAACTAAAAACGGCTTTGTGAGTAACTGACCGTCAAGTACGGAGTTTCATGGGGAACGGAAAAAACTGAAACAGTACCTTGTTGATGCGTTGTTTTGACTACTTTTGTTGTGATATATAATTTTTGTCATAGACCTACCTCGTTCCCCCTTGTGCAACTGCCGCGCGTCAAACAGCGCAAAAAAATATTTTCCCTCCAGCCAAGTCCACCTACGAACGCATACCAAGTATTCCAGATAAAACAAAAGCCCTAATTATACGGAAATCTTCTTCCTGTGAGCGTGGTGGAGCGTGAACAATTGTTGCTTACAAGCACACGCAATTGGCACCAAAAGGTGACAAAAAGGATTCACTTCAGTACCAATCAGGTCCACACCTAGGGGTCAGCACTTTCTTTTAATTTCCCCGAACAATCGGGAATGTTTTCGCACGCCAGGCATGCCATACACCCAAATTACTATTGCTGACGAGTGACAATGCCTTTTGGACATTACTGTGCACTATTTTTGGCGTGAAAGCCAGACAACGGATAAAAAATTTGTTAAACAGGTTTTTTTTCGGAGAAGCGCACCTTTTTTTCATGTCAGTTTGAAGCGCGACAGTCCATCGTCAGGGGGGTAGCGCGCCTGGTATCACTTGATAGGTTTGGACTTTTCGTGAATCTTTATTTGGCCCTGAACCAATTTTTGGTGAGGGTTGCTCCAATTATGTGCTTATTCCTGTTGCTCGTCTGCAATCAAGAAATGAGATTGGCTGCACTTGGCAAAAAGGGAAGATGGATTGCAGCGTAGACTGGAATTCAAGCCAAGCATGTTGGAAGTTGAAGTCAAGTTAATAACCTTCTAGTCAGTCCAGTATCACCGCTGCTGCCAATTCAGTTTGGAAAGCTGTTAAGCAAGATCATTTTAATCTAGATAATGCAAAGTGACTTTACTAGCACGTATTTATTACCAAAAGCGGCTTTTTAGATAAGTGTTACGTGTGAGTTTGGTAACAATTTCATTCTTCTTTCGTAGCCTACCCAAAAGTACAAAACGCCTTCGACGTAAACAGGTACTTATTGTCTTTGTTTAAAATTGAATAAATTGGTGTTTTTGCACCACAATCATGCTGGAGTTTTCTAATAAACCTATTGTCCACTTTTGTCTTTCTCTACTAAAAAAGTGCAATGAATTGTTAGTCAAAATTGGCTCTTTGAAAGGATATTTCATTTGGAGTTTTTTGATGTGGCATTTTTGTGGAAGACTGCATTAAGTTTAATTCAGCAATTTAAGTAGTATGTTTGAACAAATGCACCCTACCATAATCCCTAAGCATCCACAGGCAGTAAGTTAAGATTTTTGCCCAATGGTTTAACTGAAGCTATTTGACGTATGTAGAGCATTCTGGTTAGTCCTTTCGCGTTCTAAAATTATCTTTCTAAATTGTGAAAATGCGTTTAAAAAACAGTGGGGAAAAGGCCCCCTGCGAATTGGCTTATTAGGCCTCAGTTTGTCTCCAAATTTGGTCTAATTGGACTCTCTAATCCAACAGAGAATTGTGTTGTCCATAATTATTCTAAAGATAACGCAAATTGCAATTCCACTGGGAGCTTGCATGCTACTGCAGAATTTATAAGTCAAACAGGCGTTCGGGAAAGTTGCAGAACAGTGCAAATGTGTAAACGCTATTGTCGCGTCTGTAATCGTCGACTTCCCATACCTGAAAGTTTCTGAGCTTCGTTAATACATATACTACTTGTGGATATAATTAGTAGACTAATTATAGCCTGTCTGCGTCTACCAATGCAATTAGATCAAATTTTATGTTTTCGCTACATGTACACATACCCAGACGCTAACGGTTGGCCCATAAATGTCACAGATCTGCGTCTTGAGTCGTCTGGATGGACCAAACCACGCGTCGTGTTTACAAGATGTCGGCCTTTTATTACGGATATAAAACTGCTACTAGTAAGTGTTACAATTCCTTTCATTTGCTAACTGACAGACATAAATAATGGAAAGCTAATTGCGGTTGGTGGTGTCCGTTTTTAAAATTAAAATATTGCCCACGCTAATGTCTGAGTTGAAAGAGGAGTTGAATTAGAATTCGCAAAATTCACCAACTGTCGGTTTAAGAGTTACAGCCTGTGCAAACACAACAACCGTAAGTGAGGTGAAATGTTCCGTCATGTTGGCACGATTCGTGGCATAATCTTAGGCATTATTGTCCTGTGAACGAGTACGCTTGCCTGCCTTTGCTCAGCAGAAGTGAT